TGATTATCACTGGTGATTGGAGAGCAAAAGTTGGAAACAAAGAAGAATCACTGGTAAGTGGAAAATATGGCCTTGGTGATAGAAATAAAGCTGGAGATCGCATGATAGAATTTTGCAAGACCAACAACTTATTCATTGCAAATACCTTTTCTCAATGCAAACAGCGACTATGCATGTGTACTTCATCAGATGGAGTACAAGGAATCAGACTGACTACATCTGTGGCAAGAGGAGACAGAGAAGTTCAGTATCTTCAACCAAAACAAGGCCAGGAGCTGACTGCAGAACAGACCATCAATTGCTCATATACAAGTTCAAGTTGAAGCTGAAGACAGCTAAAAGAAGTCGACAAGAGCCAAAATATGACCTTGATTCAGAAGGGATGCAGAGTAAGGAATATCATGCCTGATGTCAAATAGATCTTGACTAAGAGCAAAGAATACCAGAAAGATGTTTACTTGTGTTTTATTGACTACACAAAGGCATTTGATTATGTGGATCATGACAAATTATGGATAACATTGAGAAGAATGGGAATTCCAAAACACTTAATTGTACTCATGAGGAACCTGTACACAAATCAGAAGGATGTCATTCGAACAGAACAAGGGGATAGTGCATGGTTTAAAATCAGGAAGGAGGTGTATCAAGGTTGCATCCTTTCACCATACTTACTCTATTTGTATGCCTAGCAAATAATCTGAGAAGCTGGACTATAGGAAGAAGAACGTGGCATCAGGATTGGAGGAAGAATCATTAACAACCTGAGATATGCAGATGACACAACTTTGCCTGCTGAAAGTAAGGGTGACTTGAAGCACTTATTGATGAAGATTGTAGACGACAGTCTGCAGTATGGATTACTCCTCAATATAAAGAAAACAAAATTCCTCACAACTGGACTATAAGCAGCATCATGACAGATGCAGGAAAGATTGAAGTTGTCAAAGACTTCATATTGCTTGATTCTACAATCATTGTCAATGGAAGCAGCAGTCAAGGCATCAAAAGACATTGCATTGGGAAAATCTGCTGTAAAAGATCTCTTTCAAGTGCTAAAAAGCAAAGATATCTCCTTGAAAACTAAGATGTGCCTAACCTAAGCCATGGTATTTTCAATCACCTCATATGCACGTGAGAGCCAGACAATGAAAAAGGAGGACCGAAGAAGAGTTGATGCTTTTGAGTTGTGGTGTGGCAAAGAATACTGAACGTGCTATGGACTGGTAAAAGAACTAACAAATTTGTCTTGGAAGAAGTGCAGCTGGAATGCTCCTTGGAAGTGAGAATGGCCAGATTTCATCATACCTACTTTGGTCATGTTGTCAGAAGGTACAACTCCTGGAGAAGGAGGTCATGCTTGGTAAAGTGGAGGGTCAACGAAAAAGGGGAAGGCTCTCAACAAGATGGATTGACACAGTGGCTGCAGCAATAGGCTCAGGTATAGTAGGGATGATGGAGCTGGCACAGGACTGGGCAGTGTTTCGTTCTATTGTACATAATGTGGCCAGGAGTCGGAGATGACTGATGGCACATAACAACAACAACAACAAAGGCTAAGTATTATGCTGCTTTATTACTATTACATCCATAATAAAGGAACTGGGTAGAGGGGGTATGAGGTGGAGAGTGGAGCTATTTTAAGTAATTTACCCAAGGCCACACAGGTACTGAGAGCTCTGGTAGCTTAGTGCCTAAGGCATCTGACTGCTAACCAGAAGGCTGGTGGTTCAAACCCACCAGGCACTCCTCAGAAGGAAGATTGGGCAATCTACTTCTGTAATGATACCGCCTCGGAAACCCAAGGAGGGGTCACTATGAGTCGAATCTACTTAATGGCAGTGAGATACAGGTATGGAGTAGCAGAATCAGATTATAATGTTTTAGAACCACCAGAAAAGTAAATAACATACATTATCAACTCTCAGCTAGCACTAAAAATCAGTAATTACTTATATACTAGGATTTGTATACTATAATATATATAGTAGGCATTCTTTCCATATTCTAAGTTTGCCGTTAGTTAGGTAACCTGAAAATTGATCAAAACATGGACTTTTTTTTCATCATTTTTGAAAAATGCTGTTTCCTTCAGCTATTTTTGAAGGCAGAGACTTTGACATTTTACTTCTTTATCCCTAACACGCTGCTTGGCATATAAAAAGCACTCAAACCTTTTTGAATGATTCATAGTCTTATTTTTATTGAATTCTATAAGGCCTTAAAATGAAAACTGAGGATTTATTTTTCTATACAATACACAAGTTTTTCTGGTCTCATTAGATTAGACATGAGTATAAGAAAACAAAGCAGAACTAAATTTTGCTTATCCCAGTACCTCTGACATCATCACACATAGCAAGATGAAAAAGGTTATTTTTGTTGTTTTCTTTGCAGGTCTTTAAAATAGATATATTTCTCATGAAAGAGAACTCCAGAGACCTAACTGTAAATTTTGAAATTCATTTTCATAAAAAGCTGCAAAATATAGACTTAAATTTTTTCCTCTTCTTTGATTTACTAATTCTGTATCAAAAGTTTTACATAATACTCACTGGAGCACATATTTAAACATACACACATATATATACATATATGTATACACACACACACACACACACACATACACGGGAGCTCTGGTGGCATAGTGCCTAAGGCATTTGACTGCTAACCAGAAGGCTGGCAGTTCAAACCCACCAGCCACTCCTTGGGAGGAAGACTGGGCAATCTACTTCCGTAGTGATACTGCCTCGGCAACCCAAGGAGGGGTCGCTATGTGTCAGATGCAACTCGATGGCAGTGAGTTTGTTTTTTTGTTTATATATCTGTTGTTGTTGTTGTTGTTGCTGTTATGTGCCCTCGAGTCAGACCCAACTCATAGCAACCCCTCATTGGGTTTCCGAGGCAGTATCACTATGGAAGTAGATTGTCCCATTTTCCTTCTGAGGAGTGGCTGGTGGGTTTGAACCACCAGCCTTCTGGTTAGCAGTCAAGTTCACTAGGCACTACACTACCAGAGCTCCGTTTATATATATGTGTGTGTGTGTGTGTGTGTGTGTGTATGCAAAATGTTTAAATATATTACCTTAGAGTCATAAGGTATCATTTTAAATAATAGACAATGTAGCTATTAAAAAATACTTTATTGAAGGATGATTAAAGACATGGGAAATGTTCATACTAAAATTAGGCTAAAAAATCAGAATAAGAAAAATATTATGTACTATAATCCAAATTTTGTAAAACACAACAAATACATGTATATGACCTGAAGGAAATATAGCACAATGTTATGAATAGTTATCTCTGGATACTCACATTTTTGGTATTTTTCTTCTTTGGGTTTTCTGATATTTTATATATATATACACACACACACATACACATATATTAAAAAGTGTTTATAAAAATATTTGAATTTATTGAAGAACTATTAAAAATAAATTGAGACATTATTAAAATATATATGGAGTAATAAGAGTGTTTTTAAATGGAATATATGAAATTTTTGATTTTCAATGAGATAACTCAGAGCCCTAAAAGAATTAAGTCATCTTATATTATCTAATACCATTCCAGGCTTTTCCTCTTATCTCTTAAGTATTTACACTGTGTATCTTTAGATTTAAATATAAACAGTGGTACAGCTAAACAAGCATCAACTGGCTTACTTTTATAAATAGGTAGTTTTGTATGGGCTGTTGTTTACTTGGTTTACTTAATTTGGCCACCAGTACAACATATTTTGTCTGGGTCCATCCATTTTACTGATGTCATCTTAAAAGATATTTCACTTGGGATAATAAGAACCCCCCCACCCCAAGTTACACTGTTTAAACATTTAACTTATACCTAAGAATAAAAACCCAGCAGCTGCATATAAAACACAGCTCAATTGAAAACTCATCTTAACTGGCTTTATTCTTGGCTACACAAACTTTCTATCTCATATACACTGGTAAAGCAACTCTCCAACAGAGCAAATATGTTCCTTAAAGACCTCCTATGGTGAATGCCCTGTTATAGCTGAAGTAGGAAGGGTTTTATGGGCCTCTAGTTTTACCCATGAAAAAGAAGGCTCTCCATTTTTCACATTTCCTTTCCTTCATAATTTCCTTTATGACTGAGCAATCTACTTCCATAAGGATTTTGCCTCAGAAAACCAAAGGAGGTCGCTATGAGTCAGAATCAACTCGATGGCAATGAGTTTGTCTTTTTTGGTTTATAGTTAGTTTCCTTTAGTTTTTCATATCTGATTCTATTCTTAATCCCAAATGATAACAAAAAAACAACCAAACCCACTGCCATCAAGTTGATTCTGACTCATAGTGACCTCCGTTGGCTTTGCGAGGCAGCAAATCTTTACAGTAGTAGGCTGCCCAGTCTTCCTTCTGTGGAGGAGCTGGTGGGTTTGAACCACCAACCTCCTGCTTAGCAGTCAAATGCCTTAGGCACTACATCACCACTCCTTAAATCATAACATATAGGGTTAAAAACCATATGCTTGCTTTCCTTTTTATGGTTTGAAGTTTAATTCAACTCTACCTATATATAAACTATAGAAGCTTTTGCTTTGTCAACTCCTGTATTGACAAAGGCGTCCATATTTTTGTTTTCTTATGACACCTAAAAAAAAAACAAAACACAACTCATTGCTGTTGAGTCAGATCTGAGTCATAATGACCCTTCCTTGGGTTTCTGAGACAGTATCAATACAGAAGTAGATTGCCCAATCTTTCTTCCAAGGAGTGGCTTGTGGGTTTGAACCACCAACCTTCTGGTTAGCAGTCAAATGCCTTAGGCACTACACCACCAGAGCTCCCTCCTATGACACCTAAATTAATTTAATTAATTTCACAGTAGGAAATTGATAAATATTAGTTGAAGACAACAACAGCAACAATACAAGAGTCTTGGTCACACCTAAGGGGAAAAAAGCAGTATTTTGCATTTTTCTAAATGATATATGCATATCTGTCCACAAACCTCCTTACACTTACCGACTGTAGACTTTAGTCATTAAGTTGTTGATCTGTTTATCAATTTTGTATTTTCGGTAATCTTCCAAGCCATCTTTAATTGCGATAATTGTAAGGACAACCACCAGGGGCAGCATCGTAATTTCCTTTTGGAAGGCTTCTACCAAAGGGACCCAGTTCAGGACAACCAGAAACAGGAAATATAAATTGGCGGCTCTGTAACCCAAAGAAGCACAGAGTAGGGTCAACAAATTGCTCCAACGGCTGAACCAAAAGAAGCACAATACATCATGGTATTTACCTACAAGTTCTCTTCTTTGTTTTTGGATGTTACAGAATAAAGAATTAGCAAATTGGGTTTTGTGAACAAATCTCAAACACACAATTGATTACTCTCCTAGACATCTGGCTCTTGCGTACCTTACTAAATGTTAGATATCATTTATTTAGTAATTGCAAATATTTGGGTGTGACAGTTATGAATTGTGTAACTCATGACAGAAAGTATACTAGGAAATACAATTTCCTTTTCAAAAATTCAAAGGAAAAAACTTAGAGAAAATTCACTTAGTGAGTTGTAGAAATAAATATTGAAAAAAACAACCCTCTAGCCTTCATGAGTTAATTGGTACATCTGAAAATTCGATTCGCACAATGCTGAAAATAAACAGAAAATCCTTAGTTTGTTTTTTTTTTTTCCCCCGAGATTAATTCTTGTATTTTTGCTTTTACACTATTCAGAACCAATTTCTCCAGGAACTTCTTTTGTTTCCACTGTTCTGGTAGGAGCTCTGGTAGCATAGTGGCTAAAACACTTGACTGCTAACCAGAAGGCTGGCGGTTCAAACCCACCAGCCACTCCTCGGAAGGAAGGTTGGGCAATCCTACTTCCGCAGTGATACTGCCTCGGAAACCCAAGGAGGGGTCGCTATGAGTCGGGGCCGACTTGACGGCACATAACAACAACAACAACAACTGGTTACCTAGTGCCACTCTGACAAAAATATACCACCAGTGGGATGGTCTTAACAAGCAGGAGTTTCTTCTCCTACATTTCAGGAGGGTTGTAAGTCCAAGTTCAAAGTGCCAGGCTTTAGGGGCTGGGTGAAATTCGCTTGACCTTGAGCTTCAGCTCTGCCTCTTGCACCCGGCCTACTGAAGCTAGAGGCATCTCCTCACTCAGGCAGCTACTGGCTGCTGAGGTTAACAAGCCCAAAGTTGACAAATAAAATGGCACAGTCTTGATGTTACCAAACCACATGGCAGGCCATTAATTCAAGTCCATTGTAAGTCCCAAAGTCGGCAGAGCATGGCAGATTGCTGAACAATGACATGGCTATATGTAGAGTCCAAGCGCACTATAGACTAGAGACCATGCCCCAAGGCTTCTGCTTATATACAGGAAGCAGGCAACTTCCCCTAAGGCAGCCACTCAGCTGCTCACAGTAGATTCCACCATGGAGTTGATTAGCAGTCTCAACATGGAGAATACTACATCCAGCTGCCCAACCACTCAACCAGGCCCAGCCTAGTTGACACACAAACTGAACTACCACACCCTCTATTTTACATGTTTAGTCACATATTGACTCCTTAACTTTGGCCATAATGTAGATTCAAGGCCCTCTTCCTTCCTCAAAACAAAACAAACAAAATCATCAATCCTGACTAGCCCTATGAATTCGTATCACCTTTTTTTTCTCCTTCATTTCATATTAAATGTTTACTCTCAGACTTCTGAAAAGAATAACTGCAGTAAGCCAAGGGCAGAGTGGGCAAATCTCACCTTCGGTGCTAACTACATAGTAAGCATCAGCATGAATCCAATTCCCAAAGTATGGAAATGAATTCAGTCCTCACCTGTGTACTTCTTCCTCCTCAGTAACAGTCTCTCTCTCTGACCCTAGCCACCCAGAGCTGGGTCAGAGTTCACACATTAGAAAGGCATCTTCTTTCAGACTCCCAAGCAAGCAGATATCAGCTCCTGTTGGCTTTCCCTGCCCCTGTGGGTTCTTTAACTCATTCGAATGACTGAAAGTGTCACAGAAGAGTATACCATGTTTACAACTATAACTTCATTACAACCAAAAAGGATACAAACAAAGAGATGCATAAGTTGAGGTCTGATATGAGTCACAGCATGAAGTTTTCATGCATGACATGCTACCCTCTCCTGTGCCTGGTCACCAACCAGGAGCCCATCTAAGCCTCAGTGTTCAGGGATCTTGTCGGCCTCACCACATGGCCATAACAGATTACATCATGCTTCCTAAGGCTTAGTCAGCATCAGCCCCTAGGTAGTCCCTCTTGGTCTAATCAGCCCTCATTTATTAGCCTCATGTATTGGTATGGCTCAGAAGAGCAAAGAACAAATGCCAAGTCATATACTGCAAGGTGATAGCATATCTTGCGATAATCTAGACAAACTTCTTCCTCATCTCCGACTGCTTTTACTCTGAAAGTTTCTTTTTTTCTATTTCAGTAACTTCATATTTCCATGTGGACCACATCCAAACCGAAAGCTCTAGCTCTGAACTATGTTTAAGTGCCAGATTCTTATTAAACCATATACACTAGGTTGAAAATTCCAGAAAAGACAAACACAACATTTAAAGCCATTAATTCAAACATTCACATTTACACTTTGAACAAATCCGTTGTTTAATAAGTGTATACAGAATGATAGAAAATGAATAAATTAAGGAGTGAATATTGTGGATCTCTATATCCAACTCACACTGGCATCTCAAACTCAGTATTCACAGAAACGAAGCAATCTTCCAATCTTCTTGTTACTCCAGTTTTTTTTTTCTTTTAATGCTCTTGGATTAACAGTTCAATTGTTTTGTTCCTTTCACTTAATTTTCCACATGCAATCCATGTATCTGTAATAGGCAATCTTTCTTTTCATTTCCACATTGTTCTCAGTTCAGGTCTCTACTACAAAGTACCAGGATATTTACAGCATCTCCCAAAATCTCTCTGCCTTCTGTTTATTTCTAACCCCTTTCATCACTACACTGCCTCCAGAGTGAAATAACCAACCACATGTAGTTAAGTCAGTTCTGACTCATGGCGGTCCTATGTGTGTTAGAGCTGAACTGGGCTCCATAGAGTTTTCAATGGCTGATTTTTCAGAAGTAGATCACCCAGGCCTTTCTTCTGATGTACTTCTGGGCAGATTCAAATCGCCAGCCTTTCCATTAGGAGCAAAGCATGTTAACTGTTTGCAGCATCCAGGGACTCTCCATGGTGAAATATAGACATGTTCTTGCTGCAGACTTGGGTCTCAACTCCTTCTCCTGATATTCAAGTCCTGCACAGTGAGTCATATGTTTCTCACTGCTTTCCAACATAAGCCCTAGGTATTAGTCAAATTGCACTACTTCCTATACCTCAAGTGAGCTCTCTGTGCGCCTCCTTTTCTGCTCTTACTCATGCTCCTACTTCCATGTGAAATGTGCTTTACTCACACCTCTGCATTAAAAAACCCATCTGCTTCCCATGATCAAGTTCAAATGCCTCTTTGCTATCTATTGTTCCAGCTAGTATAGCTATTTTTCCATGCTATTTGAAAGCACTTTATAACACTCATCACACCCACTGTACCTTTGAGTTGTTTCTATATACATTTGCTTCCCTGGGTAAACTCAAAACTTCAAAAAGAAAAGAGAAACCCTTATTTTTACATTTCATTCAGTGACTGAATTCATAGAGAAGCTTCCATAAATACATTTTAAATAGAGTATGTATTGTGGCACCTATAAAATCTCATGTTATTGTGTATTTTGGATGAAGTACAGCAAGAATTCTCCCTAGAAGTGAGGATGGCAAGACTTCATCTCTCGTACTTCAGTCACGTTGTCAGGAGAGACCAGTCTCTGGAGAAGGATGCCATAGTTGGTAAAGTAGAGGGTCAGTGACAAAGAGGAAGACCCTCAATGAGATGGATTGACCCAGTGGCTACAACAATGGGCTCAAACACATCAACGACTGTGAGGATAACGCAGGACCAGGTAGTGCTTCACTCTACCGTACATGGGGTTGCTGAGAGTCAGAACTATCTCAATAGTACCTAACAACAACATAGTATCTTGCATCTGCACTTGTTTCAGAGCTCTATTTCCCCACATTATCAAGTAAGGGAAATCTGAAATTAAAATTCAGTGTGTTTTAATGGAAAAACCACTAAAGCAAAAGTTAGAAGACCCAAGGCTGTAGCCCCTGGTCTGCTATTTTCCACTGGCATGATATTAATGAAACCACGATCTAAGACTGTAGTTCCTAATCTAGAACATGAGGATAGCAACATCTTCTCTGGTAAAGAGAAAGCATCTCAACAACTGTAAAGTAATATGTAAGTGTTATCATTGCACAAGAGACTTTAACCAGAATCACCAAAGATAACACATAGGTTTAGGCTTAAGTAACATACGATACACAAAGTTAAAATTTTTATGTATCCAATGGAATGAAAGGAAATTCTAATTAACAAAACAAAAACCAGTACCTGTGAAATTGTTCAAATAGATTTCTTGGCACAAAGTTCAGGAGCGTATATTTAGTTGTTCGTATGCGGTTATTCACATAGGCTCCAGAGAACTTTTCATATTCATCCTTGAAAGGCCAGAGGTGGGGAACAACAACTCGGTGCTTTCCTGCCAGTCTGGGGCTCTGAGAAGTCTTGCCACCGCAGGCAAGCAGAGAGGAATAGTTGTATGGTCGCTCATCGTCATCCCTGTTCACACCACCCATCAGCCGCCGCCAGTGATATCTGGCCCATTGAAGAGGCTCAGTCATGTCTCAGAGAGATCCAGGTCGTGCACGTGATCTAGACAAACAAAAACTGTTCCCGTGAGCTTCCAGGAAGCCTTAAAGATGGTACAATTTTAAATTTTTCTTTTTTAATATACCAAATAAATATAAGACCCAGTGGTTCAAGGTATAAATGTGAAATAAAACTAGTCTCTAGACCTTAATTTTAATCAAATCTTTATAAATAAAGTATAAATCTTCTGTTGCATGAGATGGTCGCCTAAGCACTCAGGGTCAGCACCTCAGTAGCCATTATTCTATAACTTGAAAGAAGCATTTGGGACTAATGTGCACAAGTTTCTTAACGTCTCTGATCATCAGTATTTTCATCTTTGAAATGGGAATAATGCCACTCCCATCAGGCTATTATTGTGAGGATTAAATAAAACACCCAGCATCAAGCCTAATGTAGAGTAGTGTTCTGGTTATCCAGTGCCTCTCTGACAAGAATATACCACCAATGGGATGGCTTGAACAAACAGGAGTTTATTCTCTTACAGTTTGGAGGCTTTAAGTCGAAGTTCCAAGTGCCAGGCTCTAGGGGCTGGGTGAAAGCCCCTCAACCTGGGCTTCAGCTCTGCCTCCTGCTCCCGGCCCACTGGAGCTGGAGGCTTTTCTTCACTCAGACAGCTACTGGCTGCTGAGCTGACAAGCCCAAGGTTGACAAGTAAAAAGCCACAGTACCAATGTTACCAAACCACAAAGCAGGTCGTTAATTCAAGTCCATTGAAAGTCCCAAGGTTGGCATAGCATGGCAGGCTGCCGAACAATGACACAGCTACAGATATATGCAGGGTTCAAGTGTGCCATACGCTAGAGATCATTCCTCAAGGCTCCTCTTTATATACAGGAAGCAGACCACATCCCTAAGTCAGCTACTCAGCTGCTCACAGTAGATTCCACCACGGAGTTGATTACCAGCCTCATTATGGGGAATACTACATGCAGCTGCCCAGCTTCTCAACCAGGCCCAGCCAAGTTGACCCACAAACTTAACTACCACAAGTAGCAATTAAAAAAAAAAAAGAAAAAGTCAATGAAACCCAATCTGTGTAAACTGCAAAAGTAACCACAAATTCTTTCCATTCCTGTATGCACACCCATTAAGAGGTGGGGTCTTTCTCTACCCACTGAATCTGGACTTGGCCACATGCCTTTCTTTGGCTAATGTAACATTAGCAAACATGATACAAAAAGAGCCTTGAAAAGTCTTGTGCTTGCTCCTTGGGGCTTACTCTCTCTTACTGATCTGGGGGATCCTGTGGCCAATATTGTGTGATCAAGTCCAGGGTAGTCTGCTAGATGATGGGTACACATAGGCCAGTTACCCCCATTGCTCCTGTGAACCTATGGGTGAGGCCATTGACCACTAGTTGACCACTAACACGAGTGAATCCAGCTGACACGATGTAGAACAGCCATGAGCTGTTGTAGCTGGGCTCGGCCCAAACTACTAATCCACAGGATTATGAGCTAATACTGTTTTAAGCCACCAAGTTTTGGAGTAGTTTGTCACACAACAGAAGATAAATGATACATCCAAAACCAACACTAAATGCCCACTGAGTCGATTCCAACTCAAAGAGACCCCCAATGGATTTCCAAGGTTGTAAATCTTTACAAAAACAAACTGCCTCATTTTTCTTCCATGGAGTGGCTGGTGGGTTCAACCCACTGACCTTATGGTTAGCAGCCAAATGCCTTAAGCACGGCACCACCAGAGCTCCTTAACTGATGCATTAGGTGCTTTTTTCCCTCCTCTTGTGAAGTATTCCTCATTTTCAGCCGTGCCTAGAATGTAAGTGTCTTAAAAATAATAATAATAATAAAACTATCATTTATTGACAGCATACTATAATCTAAACACCTTGCAAAGAGCCTTACATGCATTATCTTATTTAATATTTATGTCAATCCCAACAAAAAGGTATTGTTTCTACTTTAAAAAGAAGAAACTGGGGCTTAGAAAGATAAAGTAACTTGCTGAAAATCACGCAGTTAATAAGTAGCTGAGGCCTGGTTCAACCAAATCCTTTTGACTCGGCAGTTCCTGCTTTAAAATGTGACACTGTATCTTTGAATCCAGAGTTACTGGCACTTAGTAGCCCAATAAACATTAACTGAGTATGTAGGGACCAGGTCAGCAATTGTGTGCAGGGCAAGGTCTGAAGACTTTTTTTTATCTTCACCTTTTGAATGTCCTTGCATTTACTTATCTGGGCTGGGAGCTGTTAAACCTGGGTGCTTATAAGAATTACCCAGAGAAGACTATTAAAAAGGCACCTCTGAAGATTCTTTTATAGTAAATCTATGGGTGGGTTCTAATAAACTGTACTTTTAATAAAGCATCCCAAATGAATCTGATTCAAGTGGTCAACAGCTTATGCCTGGACAAAACGCAGCCTCAGTTTAGACCCAGACTAGGCTAGGAAGAAAAATGATTAAGACACAGATCCCATAATCCAGACATTTAGGGCTTAGGTAAGGTGATAGGTATGTGACTATATAAAAGCAATCCAGAATGCAAAGTAGTGTGTGTGCAAGGCACTAAAGTAGTTTTGACGTTGCTTTCTTCCCAAGGATCATTTTAAGTTTCTAACATGTCTATAGATTCTTTTTATTAGTGTTATACTCCTCAGAATTTAACAGTTTACCCCTAAGGACATCAAAATACTATCGAGCTTCTATGGTTTAGAAATCATAAATCAATATCTGTTAGCACTGGAAGAACTGGTCACTTTCCAATAATTCTAGTGAATCAATAATTTTAATAATCTTCTCTTGTTAACATACTTGATTACTATATATAAACCCTTAAGCAATCCAAGAAATTAAAGTTACTTACCACTTTATTAGGAGCTCTGGTAGCATAGTGGCTAAGGCACTTGACTGCTCACCAGAAGGCTGGCGGTTCAAACCCACCAGCCACTCCTCAGAAGGAAGGTTGGGCAATCCTTCTTCCATAGTGATACTGCCTCGGAAACCCAAGGAGGGATCGCTATGAGTCGGGGCCGACTCGACAGCAAACAACAACAACAACAACAACCACTTTATTACCTAATTTACAGAAAATAAGTTGAACCGCAAGGGGAATCTTAAAAAGAAAAATCAAATACTTAAAAATTGTATTCATCTGAAGCAAAATAATAAAAATATATCAATAAGAAACAGAAGTAACTTCTAGTGTGAAGAACACAACAGCTTCTAAGTGTACACATTTGTGCCTAGATATTGGACCCACAATATGTAATCCCTATTATCAGTGAAAGGAGCTCTGGTGGTGTAGTGGATAAAGCACTTGACTGCTAACTGGAAGGTCAGTGGTTCAAATCCACCAGCTGCTCCACAGAAGGAAGACTGGGAGATCTACTTCCATAAATATTTACAAGCTCAGAAACCCAATGGGGGTTGCTATGAGTCAGAAATGACTCAATGGCAGCGAGTTCGGTTTTCTTTTTTTCTTTTGGTTTTATTATCCGTAAGAGGAGATATCTGTAATGTCAGTCTTATCAGGTCTTTGTCCTTTGGAGTTTGCTCTTTACAATATTTTCCATAGGGAGCTAAATCAGTAAGTACCACCTGGCAAAAATAATGCCCAATATCTTTTCAATATAATTTTCTAAAAGTACACTTCAGAAGTATATTTGAAATAATGAGCTTTCACTTTCATATATAAAAATAGCTAGTTTCCTTCTTAACCCATAATAACAGGTCTCATTAAAGAAGTTCATAACCAACCAGAAACCTCTCATGGAATAAGGACATATGACGGTGCTTTACCAATGAACCAATGTTGTTGTTGAGTCAGTTCCAACTCATAATGGTCCTATGTACAACAGAAGGAAATGCTGCCTGGTCCTGTGCCATCCCCTCAATCATTGCTACGCTTCAGCCCATTCTTGCAGCCATTGTGTCAATCTATGTTGTAGAGGGTCTTCCTCTCTTGCAGATCCTCTTCTTTAGCAAGAAAGATGTCCTTCTCCAGGCACTGGACCCTCCTGAGGAAATATCCAAAGTACACGAGACAAAGTCTTTCCATTGTTACTTCTTAGGAGCATTCTCATTGTACTTCTTCCAAGACAGATTTGGTCATCCTTCTGGCAGTGCATTTATTTATTATTCTTTCCCAATACCATGTGTATTTATTATTCTTTCCCAATACCATAATTCAAAAGCATCCTTTCTTCTTTGTTCTTTCATATTCCCTGTCCAGCTTTCACATGTGTTATGAGGCAATTAAAAATACCATGGCTTGGGGTCAAGCACACTTAGACCTCAAAGTGACAACATTGCTTTTTAACACTTTAAAGAGGTCTTTTGCAGCAGATTTGCCCAGTGCAATACATCTCATTTCTTGACTGCTGCTTCCACAAGTGTTGATCGTGGATCCAAGTAAGACAAAATCTGTGACAACTTCAATCTTTTCTCAGTTTATCATGATGTTGCTTATTGGTCCAATTGTGAGGATTTTAGTTTTCTTTATGTTGAGATGGAATCCCATGGAAGGCAGTAATCTTTGATCTTTATCAGAAAGTACTTCAAGTCCTCTTCACTTTCAGCAAGCAGACTGTGCCATCTGCATATTTCAGATTGTTAATAAGTCTTCCTCCAATCCTGATGCTGAGTTCTTCTTCATACAGTCCAGCTTCTCAGATTATTTGCTCAGCATGCACATTAAATAAGTATGGTGAAAGGATACAACCATAGCACACACTATTGTATTTAAACCACGAAGTATCCCTTTGTTCTATTCAAATGACTACCTCTTGGTCTATGCAGATTCCACATGAGCACAAGAAGTAAGCGGTCTGGAATTCCCATTCTTTAAAATGTAATTCATAATTTGTTATGATCCACACATTCAAATGCTTTGCATAGTCAATAAAACACAGGTAAACATCTTTCTGATATTCTCTGCTTTCAGTCAAGATCCTTCTGACATCAGCAATGATATCCTTTGTTCCAAGTCTTCTTCTGGATCCAGC